ATAAAAGTTTGACATATTGAACAACTCTTAAACTGTTGCTTTTGACAATTGTTTTTATTTGTTTCAGAAAATATTTCGCAATCAGAAATACTAACATGCAACATGTCAAATTTAGTTCTATACATGTATTTAAAGAAAACACATGTTTGACAATATGGAAAACACTTGTACTAGCTTGTTTTTGATAAGTGTTCTTAGTTGTTTAAGAAATGGTTTCACAATCAGAAATGCTCATTTCATTTCTCTCTTAGTTCACCTTATCTGAATTCTATACATTCTGATATGGTTCAATATAAACTTACCAAAACACTTTTGGTATTATTTTTGTGACTTCAACCCAGTCATTTGGTTAAACTAAAAGTCACTCAGAAAAATTTTGCATTTGTCCACAGATTTGACAAAACAAAATGAATGGGATTTATATAATCACATCTTTCAAAACAATATTGAATAAACATTTAAACTAACTGTTAATAAACACATTTCAATTTTGTCTAGTATATTCTTGCATAAAATACTAACTCTATGCCAGATATTTAATATTATTTCTGCAACTGCAAAAGTTGTTAGATAATTGTCTGGTCATTATAAAAATTGAATAGTGAATACCCTCAATTTTGGGATTAAATCACACCCAATCTATTTGGAAACCTTCCTACATGTAGATAAGTCACAACTTGACTTTGACAAGACTAGAATTTTTGTACTCTTTGTGTAATAATGAACAAAAATAAAAATAAACAGTGATTTATTAAATTTAGATATTTACAAATGTCTTGCACTTGTAATCATGGAATTATCGTATTGCATTTTACTTCCACTTACTAACAGACTATTTAATGTTATTTGCTAACTATTAATCAGTCTTTTAAATAAACTGCTTTTCATGTATTTTGCTTTTAGATTAACTGTTTCTACAGGTGCTAAAATATGAGAAGCAATTGAATATATATATATATGTTTATTGGTACAATGTAGCCCAAAAGACCTCTTCTTTTTCCTGCATCTTGTAAAGACTGGCTAAAAAGAAGATTTATATAAAGAGATGTATTAGATAGTTCATTGCTCAATCTTGTAAACTACTCTAATCTCCACGTCAATGTCTAGTATTTTTAATGAATCTTGCATCAACAATGCTTTATATTTTCTGTATTTATTTAGTAATATTTTACTAGTTATATCTAATTTGTGCAAAATCTATATGATATGCCTTTATTCTTAATCTTAATTCTCAAAAAACAAATCTTAATGATAATCTAGTTTTTTTTTTATATATCAGTATCTTTGAGTCCTCTATAGTTCAGCTTTCTAATTCAATATAAACTTGAGGAAAATCTTGTAGCAGTTTGATTAGCTGTTTTAACTAGCAATCTCACATTTAGATTGAAAACAGACCCAATGAAGATAGCAGAATCTTGTCAAACTTGTTGTCATTGCTCTGAAAACAAGACGTAAAGGCTATTTTCTATCTTTTAAAGAGCTTCCCAAAAATCTCTTCCTTTCATGATTGGCAGATACATGTATTATTTTTCAGTGATTCTCATATGGTGAGGGTAAAATATACCCTTAAGTCTTATGTTATCACCTTTTTGTGTACTTAAGGCAAAAAAGCACAAGTACATATTATATGTCATATGCATTGGCAATGTACACTCTGATTTATGTAATCAAAATATAAGCCATTTCCGTGAATCGAGTCTTTGTGAAATGCACCATAATGGAAATGATCCCCTAAACTCTTCTGAACCCAAGAGACAACCTAATGTTTACTTAAAAACATATAAAAATCTGTGTTTCATTAATGCACACAAACAACCAATTGGTCATAGCAGTACATACTGATAATATTAATGTTCTTCTTGTCAGTAATAAACTGACCTTGAAAATAAAAAAAATATAATAGGAGTCGTCACAAGCTATCAACAGGTTTTAGAACGGTGTTCCTTTCTTACTGACTCAACATATTAGTAGTTTCTTAACATCTGTAAGAGAATAATTTATCAGTAAAGAAAAATTTACAGCAGGTTCCTGCTCCCAGAAAATATTTCAGGCTTCTAAGAATTTACTGTCCTGATTAAATCTGGACATAATTATAAATTTTGTGTATTGACATGTTTAAACTACATACACATTTGTAAGTACTAAATAACTCTGTACTATTTCAGTGTTTTTTATCCGTCTTGACCTTTTGCAGACACTCTTTCAATAATCTGAACTGTTAGTTCATCACAAAAATCAATGTGCAACCAAAAATTAGCTAAGATCAAAATGTGTGTTGTACTAAACATGCAACCTGCTTGTGCTTGCAAGTTGTTTTAAATACAATAAAGGTTGACCTACGTTATCTAGATGAAACGATTTCTACAACAATCAGATAGACCTGGACTAAAATTCACTATTCTGATTCGATTTAATTTTATTTCAGTACGTCAAATACTAAAAATTGTATTTCCAAGAATGATCTATGCTCCTTAAATATCAATGTGCGATCAATTAATAATTATGATTTTTAGGAAAGATCAAATCTGTACAATGCATGCAAGGTACAGATCCAAAATCATGCATGTTGTTCTAGTTCCTACGTTCCCTGGATGAAACGATGTCAACATTAATCAGATAGACTTGGGCAAAATCCCTATTCTAAATTTTATTTTATTTGTGTTGTATCAACCACTTTCTATTTTCAGTAAATATGGTATATGTTCCCTAATTGGAAGGCTAACCAAATAAACATAATCAGTTCTGGGCAAATTCCCTATTCTGATTGTGATTTATCTATCTACTTTTAATAGTAGTATCAACTTTTAGTAGTATCAACTTTGGTCTGTATGGAACGTTATCCAAAATAAAAAACAATCGTTTATGGGCAAATTCCCATTTCTGATTGAAATTTATTGAATCACTTAAGGTTCTAGTGACAATAGTGGTCTACGCTCCCATAAGGACGTTATCCACATTAAAATAATCAGATCTGGTCAAAATACCTATTCTGATTGTAAAATAGTGATGTGTTTACTCCGTTTCGTGTAAAGACTGTAAACAATCAACTGATCCGAACTTAGTGACAATAGTGGTCTACGCTCCCATAAGGACGTTATCCACATTAAAATAATCAGATCTGGTCATAATACCTATTCTGATTGTAATTTAGTGATGTGTTTACTCCGTCTCGTGTAAAGACTGTAAACAATCAACTCATCCGAACTTTCCACTTGACCCGTTTCGTAGTTTGCTCAAAATAGCTAAAATTCGTTCAGCGTGGAGAAGAATTTAAACATACGTTTGTTTTTATAAATGGAGTACTCATGTAACATGTCCGATTATGACAGAAAAGTTCCGCCTTTCCTCACACCGGACTAAAATTTTGAAAATGGCGACTTAGCAAAGGTTAATTTCTAGGTCGTCGTTGTTACAGACTCGTAATGTTGACGTGTATATCAGAAACTTAACAAAAGCGCTGTATAAACATAGAAATAATCGTAAAACGATATTCCAAAAACAAATAATGTTTTTTTATAAAACATAAGGATTTTCAACAGTAGACTGTTAAAAATCCATGTCGACGAGAAACATGCGTTCACTTGAACGCAAAAATTAAAACTGAAGATATTGTGTGTTACACAGGTAAATTATGACGTAGGTGAGTACATCTTACGGATGTAAATTTAATCACCTAGTTAATTGCGATGAGAACATGTTCTGAAAGCAAACATATTCTATATAATATAAATGTAATTTCATGGTAAGTATATTTAACCAAATTCATATAAAATTACCCATGATAATTCACTATCTTATCATGGAATAGAAAAGTATGTTTTATAAATGTTTTGATTGTTTTGCAACAGTTTTATTGGCATCCATTTTTAAAAATTTCTGAGTTCCTTGGAAAGTGAAAAGTACCAATAGAGAACATGAAATATCTTTGGTCCAATTTTACAATAGGAAATGCATTTAGAAATTGAATGTACAATCTTTTGTTGCTTTTTTTTTGGATGAAAAAGATTAAAAAAAGTTTTTACTATTGAACATTTTTAAAAGTGTACTGTCATTCAGTAAAGTTTAATGCTCTAAATCTTTAAAACTGCAAAAAATGCATGACATCTTATTACTTGTAGGAAAATATGTCAATTTTAAACAGTATCTCTCTTAATTTTGCAAGGTATCTGATCCTGGTACCACTGCATATAGCACAGAAAGTGTAAATTGTTTTCATGATTTGCATAAAACTACTGTTAAAATACTAAATGACACATCTAATTAAGGTTTGTGACAGAGATAATTGAATAAGTTATTTTTGGTGCAAATGTTGTGAAAAGCACAATATTCCGGTAAAAAAACCTTCAGACATTAATTCAGAATAGCCAGTAATTGACTGGTAAATGACTTCAGTAAGGTGATCATACTTTAGGATTTATTATCCTTTTTGGTCCTTTTTGGTCCTTTATTTTTATTTTTTTTTTTGGCTAATATCATGAAATCTGCAATTGATTTGTTAAAACAAATAGATAACTTTGTCTTAATATTCTGTAGGTGACCAAGTCAGGCAACAAGTTTTTTTTCGTGCTCCACCTATGATAAAAGGTAATAGGCGGGGATTATTTTTTCGTGTCTTTGTGTATGTCAGTCCCTCAGTATCTCATCAGGTTAAAATTTGGGTTAAAGGTAATTCACCCTGAAATTGTTGTCACTTCAACCTTAAACTTAGTATTTATTATAATGTGAACTTTTTGAAATATATGCAAAATTAGAGTTTGGACAGATTTTGTGGCTCAGTAAACATGGAAATGTGAAATTGTGAACGAGGCAAGGTGTCCTATGGACACTTGACATATTCTTGTTTTACTTGCAAAAATTATTATTCATGAGAAATTCATTCTGGATTGAAGGATTGTTGTAATGAAAGAGGTAACATTTTTTCTTATAAGAACATTTTCACTGAAATAACAAAACTACAATTCTTGCCTTTATTCATTTATTAATGTTTCCTTTATCTGTAGGCATTGATAGGATTGTTACAAGGTGACAGATTTTCACAGTGTGAATCTATTATTCTGTACTGTACTAGACGTGATACCACTGAAAGACTAGCAACCCTCATACGTACAAGTCTGCAGGATCAGAAGGGAGAGAACTGGACAGGAGATCGTACAAAGAGAAAAGGTTAGGACATATAAAGGGATATCATGATTGCTAGTGACTTCTAATATAAAAACAAGGAGATGTGGTATGATTGCCAATGAGACAACTATCCACCAGAGTTCAAATAAGTTGGTCCAAATCTATTTCTCGACCATCACTTATGAAATTCATTAAAACAAATCACATGAAATTGACTTTCAATAGAACCTTTTATGCTAACCTTGGACTAATTTTGACCATGCAAAATGACTGCCATGATGTAAATGCAGCAGTTTCATAAACAAATTTGCTGTAATACGTTCATAAAAAATATCAAGGAAAATATAGGATTTTTCTTTTACATTAAACTGACTCATATGTAAATCCTACTGCAGTATTCTATAAATATTCTCCTTCCATTTCACAGCTGGCTGATTGTTTTAGCATTTATTATTACTTAAATGTAGTATTTCCTGTAACATGTAACTAGCATTTCCTGTTATAACTATGGGGTACAAGCATTTGATTCTATTAGTTTATATTGTTAAACCAGTTGTTATACTGAATGTAAAATCACTGTTCCTTCTTCATATTGACAATGATGAATTAAAAGGGCAGTTTGTACATGCTTATGTGCTTTAAAGACAAATAGGTTAAATACCCAAAGCCTGATTAATCCTGGTTGTTTGTTAGTCTGTTAACTATTTTGAAACACTGAGAATTTAAAGTCTGTATATATCACTAAGGTTAATAAGCTTGGACAAATTGGAGAACTAAATAGTGCATTATTTAATGCAGATGCACTTTCAGCATCCTCATTAAGTAATGATGTAAAAGTGCATACAAATTTAAAAGGGTTCATTCAAATACGAATGTAATTGCTTTTGTAATCGTTCCATCTCTGACAATTGATTAGGAAGTCTTTTGCTATGCATACTTTTTTTCAATTGTACTGTCCTTGTATTTGAATGTTTTTTGCATATTTTTGTACATTTTGTTCATCTTTGAATTTCGATTAGAAATGTTACTTTTGAAAGTGACATGATCTACCACAATTAAACCATTTTAATACAGGAGTTTGATTATTTATGTTTATTTTGGTTAATTAAACTCTTTTTTTTTAATGAACAAAAGGAGATGTGAAGTATATTTCAATAAGGCAGTAGCCCAACAACCCAAATAAGACATCTATTTGAATATATCTGAAAATTCTTGATTTCTTGATAGTTCTTCCATTTTGAAAAAAGGGCCCTTCACTTTTTTGAACACACCCATGCAAACTTTATAAGAAATAAGAGTCAATTTTGATAGTACTTTTTTCTTTTGTCTGCAGTATTGTTCAGAAAAATATTTTCCAGCATTGTACTACATTTTTTCTATTTTTTGTTATTTAACACATTGCAGATATGATGCTACTTTCTGCCAGAGGGCAGACACAACCATTTCCTATTGACAATGATTTCAAGTCAAGCTGCTAACATCACTACCTTTATACTGATACAATTAATTTTGCACTGTTAAATGTTATGGCTTTTTTAATGTTTCTTGAGGGAAAACATTCAAAGTAGATGGAAACTGTCGTTTTATAATTTTGTCATATCTGATGTTAGTTGCTTCTATATTTGTTAGATTGTATACCGATTACTGTAAATTCAGAAATCATTGCGATTTTTGAAAAATGGACAAAAATGCAAGATTCATTATTGCGATTACGGGAAAAGCTGCATACAGATATATGTACATTTGTGTATTAGGTAGCAAAATGCGTAATTTTATTATTGTGATAGTCTCACCTAGACGCATTATTCGCATACATAAAAACATCGCAATAGTTTCTAAATTTATAGTATCTAGTCTGGTTCTATCATCCAGGTAACTTTACTACACAAGATGCCTAAGTTTGGTTTTTAGTAGTCAAGTTTTTCTTCTAAATATGTAAAAAAAAAAAAAAAGCATTTACATATTCAATCTGTATAAAGAATCTGAAGAAATTCCATTTTAAGCAAATAGCTTCTCAAAGAAACAGATAATCACATTACAATTTTGATGAAGAATTTAGTGGTGGCATTTAAAAGTTTTAAGTAAAAAAAGTGATTTAAAATGCTTCTAATGGAGTAAATAAACATTTCACTTAAAGTATGTCATTCTTTCCTACTTTATATGCTTAAGTGACATGTATTAAGTTTTACATTACAGTTCATTTCACTTGATACAGATACAATTAGTGATCTACAATTATATTGACTTACTACAGTATGCATAAAGGATATGATAGCATTCAGTAAAGTAAAGAAGGAAGAAAAGGGTGGTCCAGTTTTAAGACAGCTCACTGATCACTTTTATCTTTTGGACTGAGCACTTACAATTGAGTAAATGTAGTAATTCTCCATTTCCATTCTCAATTTTAATGTATGTCATATTGACTTTCATGACATGTTTACAGGACAAAGATGTGGGAAATACAAACAATATTACCTTTTTTTTGACAAGACTAACTTTTTTTTCTATTTTGAGATAATTAACAGATGGACCTATGACTTTGAACTACACAAGGGATTTCTAAGAGTTACTAATGTATTAATCCAAAGACTGATGAAGTGGTAATGGGGTGTTATAAATGTCATCACGGATCTGTAACAGAACATGCATTTTACTACTGATTCATTATTACACCACTGTGCCATCTTTATTACATTTATATTTAAGAATAAGAATGGTTCTTTATGCAGTTTTATTTAGAATTTAAAATGTGTTGAGTGAAGCACGTATTGTATGATGTATGGAAAGATTCATACTAAAAAAATTATGCACAGTCAGCAATTTGTGACAACCCTATAAAACTACAAATAAGGAGAAGCATTCAATTCTTATAATTACAAAATAATTCTTTAATCAGGAAATAACAAGCTAAATCAATCTTTTTTCGCTTTTTTTTTTAATAATTCCAACACATTATTGTAACCTTGTCATGGATAGCACCTGCAGTCTTGGATATTGTGTCTTATTTGGACATAAAACATCACTTTGAATTACCATATGGTTGTTGTCTGTCAATGAAAATGATGGAATCCTTATGCAACATCCATGAAATGTAATTATTGAGTCACATAAGGTGTCATGTGTCGTTGTCCTTGTAACACTTTGTTATTATGTAACTCCTTAAAAAAGTGCTTCGACAGAATTAAACCAAACTTAGAAGGTTACCTCTAAAGGACATGAATTAGTGCACTTGTTATTTTGATTTTGGATCAACATGATTTTCAGGATTTCCCACACCAAATTGAAAAAAAGGAATAAGCCATTTCTGTTTTTATCAGTTTGTTAATCCACCACTTCTTGAAAACAGCTCAACAGAATTAAAGCAAAGTGTCACAGAATTTTTCTAAAGGACATGAAAAATATTTTTGTCACACTTTTCTTTGAAACTACTGAAAAGAAGGACTTATCATTTGGTCAGCAGCTTTGATACTGTGATATACTCACAAGGGGAGCTGATTATTTAACTATTTATTGATTTGTACATGACTAGATCATCTTCCTTTGCAAACAATTGAATTTTTTTGGTTAAATCTTTTTAGAGTCAGCAACCTTCTACAAGATGTATAGACATCTCTGATCTCTACTGAAAGCTCAAGTATCAAAATAACAAAACAGTTAATCAAGAACGGACAGCTACTAGTCACAAGAAGACAAATTATTACTTCCACTCTGCCTTATAAAACTGAAAAACGACCTTGAATCTCTGGTCACCTTTATATGAATTTTTCAACCATTGAGATGGTTTAAAGTTTAATGACTTATGATTTAGACAGTGTTATTCAGGAATAATTTCCTTTTCCATGTAACAGCATTAAATCTAATGTCAATAAACTTAAAAATACTAATGCAAAAATATAACAATGTGCATGATTCTAATAGCTATAGCTATAGGAAAGGTAACATAAACCAGAACAATTGAAATAATAGTAGACAGTCAAAGACCTGTATCAGCAGGAATATCTCTTGTATAATTGTATTATGAATAGAAAATAACATTGAAATATAAAAATAAGGAGATGTATCAAGTATGATAACTATCCACTAGAGACCAAAAGATTAGGATGTAAACAATTGCAACTATAGGTCACTGTACGACCTTCAACATTGAGCAAAACCCATATTGTAAAAATATCTTTAAGGTCTACATCAAACTTGAAAAAGATTGAATAATAAAAAAAAGTGTGTATTCTTGTATAATTACATTAACATGTATGTTTCTTTAGAATCCGTACCTTTGATTGACTGAAATCATTCGTGAGGCATTCTAATATCAAATTGTATTCTCAATAAAATTCAACATTCATGACAACATCTGCTTCTCATGACAACATCACAACAATGCATAGGAAAACAAACAAAAAATTTGATATAAGAATTGGAATACTTCTTTTGTAATTTTATAGGGTTGTAAAAGCCTTGATCATGCACACATTTTTAGTATGAAGAGCTTTTACACCCAAATAAAATTACAAAAAGAAGCATTCAAGTGTTCATATACTATCTGTTGTCAGAAGAAAAGGCAATGTAGTTTTCTGTTTGTAAAACCACCTGTTCTTCAAACTTAAGGGTCAAGGTAGTTATGTCTCAAGTAGATGTAGCATTACAATAAAATGCTCTTAGATCGTCATATAATCATTAAATACTGTATAGAACTTGTCAGACAGCTGCTGGTATAATTAAAAGTTCATAAGTATTAGGAAAGCAAGCTTTGATGAGTAATTATACCACTTCTGAGTCTGATAGAATAGTCAGGAGGAACTAGTAAGCAGGTGATGACTGATATGGGCATTCACAAAACATTAAAAACATAAACTTAATGGTGCCCTCAAAATTTTAAAATATTTTAATGTACTTTTATTTCTTGCTGTATAAAAATTAACAATTTTCGATATGCACCATTTTTTTGTTTTTCAAAAACCAAACGTCAAAACTAGCTCTGCAAAAAGAAGTCACCGTTTCAAGAAACAAAGAGATTCTATGAATTTATTTGATAAGAGTACAAG